ATTAATGGCAAATTTCAAAAATGACAGCCAAATGAAAAGGAATGGTTCTCCAACCACAAAAGACCAGAGAACAATATTTAGAAAGTTAGGATGCAAACTCCTAATTAATTCCACATGTCCAGTATGACCTTATGGTATTAGCTTATCTATAAAATTGAACAAGTTAGTAGTGTATGTTAAAGATTATTCATTGGACAAAATCCTGTTGCTTAGTCTAGTAAAGGGCATCAGAGTAAGCCCATTAAATCAATGGGGATTTGATATCACATTCAATTGATTCAAATGCGCATATTCTAACTATGACTCACTTTAGTATAGTAAAGTATCTGGACTTGACAGAGCGCTATTTGGAATTTACAGAACAGTTAACTCACAAAATCCCCACTAATTCAATGGGCAATCTCTGTACATCTGGACAGCCAATCTAGAACTTATGAACAAATTGACTCAAAAAATCCTCATTGATTCAATGGGCTTACTCTAGTGTGATTTACTAGGCTAAACAATTGGATTTTGACTGTTATCAATGATACATATTGCCAGAGATTAAAACAAACAGGCTACTGTAATCACAATGGGTTTATATGTCTCTGACGATCTTCACATAGGAATGTCCTCTCCTCACGTTAGGGCTAGGTACTGCCACATTCTTGTCCTTACAACTGAGGATGACAGGTGTTTTTCAGCCACTATCAATTTTGTTCTCTTTTAATATTGATAACAAAGTCTTGTGTGAAATTATTGCCCAGAGCTTTTTTGTGCATTACTATGCAGTTTGTATGAAATCATACAAATTATATGTATATTATGGGGAAAAAAAACAGAAGAGAAGCTAAGAACAAAGGAGAAGAAAACAAGGACATTTTCCTAGACTATTTAAGCAATGACTGATGAGGACTCTAGTTAAAGTACTTTATTTAATACTGAATGCATGAAATTTTTCTGCCATTGTATATCTGTTGTTGTTATTGTTATGTTCATCAAATCAGAACTGACTTATAGAGACTCTAATAGGGTTTTCATGGTAAGTGAGACATTTTAAAGAGTGGTTTTATCAATTTCACATCCATAGTGAGCTTCCATAGCTGAGCGGGGATTCTAATCCAGGCATCCTGAATCCTAGTCATCACTTTATCCACTATACCTCATTGGGTGTCACTATTGTATATATACATACTTTAAAATTACTACAGTATAGCATTCGCTGTGAGATTTACCACTAGCGCACTAGTTAGCTTTCTCTCTCAATCAATCAAAAAAGAAGCAGTAATCAACATCCAAAATCTACCACCATTTTTAGAACTCATTGAGCTCTAAAACCTATGAGAGAGAGGGTGGAAATACAAGCAGTCCAGAATAAATATATTTATGTGGAACATGAGATGCAGGAAGGTTTGCCTCCCTGATCCTTAAACATCCTATATGCAACTTAACCTTTGCTTTCTTTAGCAAAATTTGAATACTAAATCAAAAAGAAAACAAAACAAAAACCTATTTGAAACTATTTTATCTGCTTGAAATTTTCTACAAAAAGAAAAAAAAGTGTTAGATATCAAAAATATAATCCAGCCAAACAAAAGAGCTTCCAGTCTCACTGATGTCAATAGGTAAGTTGAATATATGGAATTTTAAAAAGCTTAACTTCGAATTGATTCAGACTGACTATGGGGCAGATTATAAACCACTGTCCTCTCTCTTTGGGATTTTATTTTGTTTGTTCTGTTTTAGATTGTGGCAGTACTTGAATTCTGGCATTTTATAGGGGCCAAAAATTGTATTATTTCAGTATACATATTCTTAGGAAGGCATATACAATACAACGAACGTTATAATCAAAGTGAAAAGATTTTTTCTGAAAAGAAACAGTGATATAATCTCTAAATATGACAATTAAAGGTCTGTGAAAATTTAAAATATATTTGCCTACTGTCAAAAACTGGGTGGCAGATAAACCTCCTTGGGGAAGGGTTCCATGTAGGAGAAAGTCCCTCCATCTCTATTCTACGCAATCATAGAAACTTTTGGTGGAAGTTGCCTTTTAGTGCCTTTTAACTCTTCAGAGTCTATCCAGGAAGATACTGGACTATTGAGATATCCAAACACTCCTCTTCTGTGCCAAATCAGGTCCAGAAATGAAGTCAGACCATCTGTCTCTTCCAGGAGTGACAGTCATTCAATGGCCAGTAACTGCTGAAAAACCTTTCCTGGGAGCTGGATATTAATAATCACAGATACACACATCGCATGCTATTTCCAGGAGTATGTTGCAACATCTAATTCATTCCAGAATGTTACCTTTCCAAATATGCTCAGCCTATTAGAGTCAATGAATGGTTGTTTCAGCAAATATCTGTAATGAGGAAGGTGAATTATTATGAGAAGTCATCGTTCAACTGTCTTATTTCTTCCATAAAGAACATACTGTACATATTTTTGAATACCATAATACAAAGAGTCAAAGCATGGAATATTAAGTAAATTTTGTATATTTAACTTTAAGCTTGCAAATGCCTTCTTGATCCCATTAATAATACCTGCCGGAGGTTTCTAGGATTTATTGTGAGAAAATCAAAATTCTGAATGATCTCACACAAAAAATTCAGCAGCAATCAATCCTCCATGGAAATCCTCCATGGGATTTTTTTTTTAAAAAAAGCTAAAACATTAAAGAGTTGTTTAGATGCTATGAATCTAGGGCACAACTGCCACTGCCTCAGCTGGAAACCCAAGAAACTAAAAATAGTGTTGGAACCATCCTTTCCACATATTATAAGCAACATAATACTAAAGCATAATACAACCTTTGAACTTGGATGGGCATTAATTGCTTTGGCCAATTTAAACATTCCTCAAGTTATGTGGTTAACTCTCATTGGGTCACAGGTATCCTCCTGTTTTTCAAGATGCAGGGTGAAAGCTCATTTTTAGTTATCATTTACTGTCTGAGAGTTATTTAAAATTAGGCATTTTTTGCATTCTTTGTTATGTGGAGAGTCTCCTCACCATTCTTTTAAATGTAATGAAAAAACATTAGTCATGCAATATCACAGTTTTACTCTACATAGCACTCTATAAAGCAGTGGACAGACAAAAGCTCTTTAAACTAGTCACCTATATGGAAAGTGTGGACCCACTAAACAGTGTAGTGGTAAATTTGGAAATGCAGGTGCTCATCGTGATCATCTCCATAGACTGCCCTCCACCAAAAAAAGTCTAAAAGTGTAAGCAGTCGGGTTGATCCATATGAGCAATTTTTTATTTCTACCAAGAGTAGACCTGTAAAAATAATTGCTTTTAATTCCTCCTATCCAATAAAATCATCCTCAAATATTAGGACTAAGTATCTTTCAAATTTGCAAGAAGCATTTTCTCCCTCAGCTACTGTGTGAATTGCAGTAAAGCTCTGAGAGAACAGGTAAACCAAAGAGAAGAGACAGTGGATCTCACAGTACTTGTTAATCAGAAGTCATAGGACTCTGACCCTGTGAATCCCAGTTCCACTACATCATTGCACCTGTGGTAATAGACGAGATGCTGGATTTTTTTTTCTTTTGGTTTGCCTTTGTTAAAACACAATTATTCTGACATTTGTGCATGTGCATATCATGATTAAAGCTACTGTATTTGTTAGATGAACGTATGCACATTTTGACTAAAGTGTTTAAAACACTTTGTCAAAGGCAAAGAATTGACAAATAATTTCCAGACAACCTGAAGTTGTACATCAGTTCTTGCTGCAGGTTAGTCATTTATACTTCTGAAGCAGCATTCTCTGCTTGGAAGTAGGACACAGTTGTATTCTTTATACCTTAAGTGTGTTGTAGCAGCTTTAGTTATACATTTTGGAACAAAATTTGAAACATACTCTCCATCGTGCAACATTTGCTCATTGAATAAAAATACTAGTTAGATAAAGTACAGCAGTCAGACTAGGACTAAAAATCTGCCTTATCAAACTTGATGGTTCACAGCATATGGTTCATATCATCATCATCATTGGGGCAGGTGGGGGGAGGATTTCTATGACATTTCACATTTTTTCTTCAACCTACATTTGAACCGATAAGCAAGTTCAAACATATTTATGAATAATCTGGCCTTTCTCACCAGATTACTCATCAACATGTTCAAGTCTACCCATAAATTCAAACATCGTTGCAGAAAAAAGATTACACGTCACAGAAATCATCCCCTAATTAATATTATACAATAAACCAACACCGAACGTATTATGCTGATCCACTGCAGCAAAGATATAAAGCTCAGTAATTGTCCAATCTGTTGTATTAAATTAGGAATGCATTTCTTTAAAAAAATAGAAGAAATGTTTGCACATACGTACTCTACCGCTGCTATCTGGTCCTTCACTTCCACTGATCCTAAGGAACGATGGACTCCTTGCAGGATCTTTAGACCTTGAAATCCACTCCCTCTTCCATCAAACTGAGCTACGATGACATTATCAGAGTTGACAAGCACAGAATCCCAGTCAATGTGAAACTTATCTGTAACCAACTGGCTGCCTGGAGCTTCATCACTGTAAATACCAACACACCAGACACAAACGAAGGCTATTGACAGTGTGATGCACTTTGCAATTCTTCAATATTTTATTTAACATGGATGGCAGAGTTCACTAGGAGTAACACAATCCTGTTGAATTAATTGTCAGTTTAATCTATAATGCCACATTAACTACTACTGTTACCCCTTTTAGGAGCAACAAGAAAAATAACTTTGTGAACTCCGCAGAAATAAACTGTCAAGATTAACATATAGTTTACGAGTCTCATACCCTGGAAGTCTGAAACATAGGGAAGCTCCCTTGGAACATATGAGTTTGCTTGCTCTATATGGTAAAGGCAATAGTTTTTCATATTCCTTGAATCTGATTCCTTTTACTGGTGACATTAGGAATTGAACTTGACACATTCTACATGCAAAACATATGCTGCATTTGAGGTATATGGGATTAAAGTTTAGTAGGAAACTGGACAAAACAATACAGTACAGTACAGTTATAGCCATTTTTTTCCTATGGTGTTTTGAGGGAACTTACAGGCACCCTGCAACCTAGGTACCTTTCGGCAAGTGTTGTTTTTTCTTTCCCCAGTCAGCATCATTAAGTGACTAGTGATGAAAGGAAAGAAGTAAGTAAATCCAGAGATCCAATCAGCTGTGAACCAATTATCTATCTTCTCAGATCATTTTCCTACCCAATTGTAATAGTCATTTTAATGTACATTGCTTGATCTTTATGGTATTATGGGCAGCGGGATTATATTGTTTTGTTAAGATTTTAGCAAAATGTTGCTTTTATCTGTTTCTGTTTCTTTAAAAAAGATTGTAAGCAGCTTTGGAGGAACTATTTCAGAGGAACAGTATGGTATGAATGTAATAAATAAATTTTGCACATGATGAGCAAGAGGGGGCATCTGAGTGATTCTTCTTTGATTCTGAAAGATTGTGCAAAGAGATTACACTGAGCCTCGTGGCGCACTGAGCCTTGTGGCGCAGTGGTTAAACCGCTGTACTGCAGCCAAAACTGTGCTCACGACCTGGGGTTCAAATCCCAGGTAGCCGGCTCAAGGTTGACTCAGCCTTCCATCCTTCCGAGGTTGGTAAAATGAGTACCCAGTTTGCAGGGGGAAGCAATGTGTAGCCTGCATAATTAACTTGTAAACTGCCGAGAGAGTGCTTGAAGCGCTATGGGGTGGTATAGTATATAAGCAGCATGCTTTGCTTTGCTTTGCTTTTATCCTTGTGCTGTGATGAAAAAAGAGGGGGGTGGAAGGATAGTGTATTTGTTTTCCTATTCCCAGAGTATGAACTCTCCATTTGCATGTTCTTTCTCAATATAACTTCTCTATATTCCAAGAAAAGAATTGCAGGAGTCACTATTGTTTGACTGTCCAAACACTATAGTCTTGTGGCACAGGGGTGGTCAACATGTTGCTTATGAGTTCCTTGTGAGGAGCCCCTGGCTGCTTTTGCATCCCTTGTTGCTCCTCAAGATCTTTTGTGATATCACTTCAATTCAGTCCCTAACAGCACTTCTGTCCTTCTCTTACTTTCTAAATACAAGGGAAGCTCTCTGAAGTAGCAATCCACAGGACTCCCATGCTGCAGAAGGGACTTTCCAGCACCAACTTGAATCACAAAATGTTACAACAGTTGCCACTGAATTTTAATGGCAGTGGCATCGGGAGCATTAACTGTCAATTTAGGGGGAAATCAACAAGTTGGGGGAAGTCTATGGTGCCCCCTCACTAGACCAGAGCATTGTTTATTCCAGTGTAGAAGATTTCAGAATTGCCACAAAGTTGAAATCCCTCATGCCTATCCATCCATGCATGCATATATTCAGTACATGAGACCTATTGCTCGTGCCATTATGTAGGATTCTTTAGGAAGCACAAAACTTAACATGAGGGGAAACAATCACAATTTAAAATTTTATAACACTGAGAAATAATGGGTATGAGACTAATTTATTTTGCTTATATATCTAATTTATTTCATAACCAAAGCAGGAATATTCAAGGTTAATCATAAGTACTTCATTTCTAGTTTCTTTCAGTATTTCTGCTAGTAGTATTTTATTAAATAGGAGTAGAATGTCAGTTTGGGTAAAGAAAGTTTATTATTTTCCCATCAAACATAAGTATCAAACAACCGAGGAGCAAGAAATAATATAACACATTTTGGCAAAAAGCATATGCCAGTAGAAACAAAGCAATCAACAATTGATTGCATGTGGAAATTAGAGATTAATTGAATCACGTAGAATGTGAATTAGACTGCATATATGAAAACATGTTCAGGATTCCTGGACAAATGGTGAAGAAACAAGTGAAGCTACTTTTAAAAGACATGAAAAGATGATAAAAATAGCAGGTTTTCCTTGCATTATTATTGTTTCTGGGACTTGGAGGAGGTGATCTGTCATTGTTGCTTTGGTAATTTATAGGAAGACAAGTGTATAGCCTCCCATGATATCATAGTAGATGACAGCCATCATCCTAGATTACAGTCTTTTAAACTACCTATCCAGAATGATTCATTTTGTGATTATGACCATCGCCTTCAGAACCAGAACTTAACTTTGAGAAGAACTGGCATTCATGTATCATGAATTATTTAATCCCGCCCCCCTTTCCTCACCTTTTTAGTGATCATGGCCTCAGTCTTTAACTTTAAGCACTTTCATACCACTGACATGATATTTTGGCTGAAATCTTGTTGCTCGGTATTTTAAGTTACAACTAGAGTAAACCCATTTGAATTTATGGAGAAGCTGCTCACCAAATCCCCACTAATTCAATGGCCTACTCTAGTGTGACTCACTACCATAAGCAATAGTATTTCAGCCAGTATATTTTAACCCCAATACTTAGTTAGCCATACCTGGACTGAAACAGATACGTGCAAATACTAAATATTAAAAGTCTCCAGTTAGGGTGCAATTAGTGCTATAGGTAATATACATTCATATTTCAATTGCAAACATGTAGTAAGAGTCTAATCCACAATCTGACTATTTATATGGCTGTTCTTAATTAGACAGTTTTAATATTTAACACCCACTGAACTTTCCTGTCATCTTTGTCATTTCAAATGTAATACTTCTCTGTAAATGCAATTTGCATATTCAGCTACCATTCATTAGCCACTATCCAGTGCAACAGGAGCGACATAATCTCTACCTGTACAATAGCAGCAGCAGCAGTAGCAGCTGATTGCAACTAATTAAACAGTCTTTCCTTCAATTTTGGGTGTGTATTACTCATGGACAATGATACAAATTTGTGCACACCACAAAACTGACCTTAAATCTGCTGCAATCTGCAGCTGCAGATTTGTACAGGTAGAACTATGCAAAAGTGTGATGGCCACTGAATATAAGTAAGAATGGCATAAAAGGTCAGGTGAAGTAGATATTCATGAACCACTTCTTAGCTAAAGACCCAGGAGCAGGACACATATATGCTTTCAACCAGGAAAGGAAACAATAGTAAAAAATAAATCCTCTTCACTTGGTAACCCACATTGCAGATCTGACATTCCAACATGAAGTGATAAGCACAAAACATTAACCCTCTTTCCAATTTTATGTAAACCATGTATCCAAGCCATAACAGGAACTACAGATTCCATTAATGTAAAAGACAGAGATGGATAGACTTTAAAGGTATTGAGTCCCCTCTTTGAGAAAGGCCACCTACAAATTACACAAAATCAATCAATCAATCAATCAATTATTACTTTGTTTTGTTTTGTCTTTCTGTTTTACCTGAACCAAAGCCCTGTGCAAAGGAATTCAGTTAAAATTAAAGAATGGGATGATTCTGAGCATATTTTGAGCTGAGGGCTTGCTTTCCATTTCCTAATGAAACTTGTAATCCTAAAAGTGTGCCATTGCTGACCCAAGCTCTCCTCATTTCAGTAGCCTAAAGTGGGTGAAAAACTACATACCTTTTGTTAAATAATTCACAAAACTTTACTGGTCTCCTTTAAATCACCAGAACTCTACCAGTAGATCCTGTGCCACTTTCTCCTCCTGCAATATTTCATTCATTTTTAACAGAAGCTAAACTTTCCCCTTTTACCCTCTGTTGTTTCTCCTTCTACATTAGCAGTACCTTGAATCAGTACAGTTCTGTATCTATTTCTTGGCCTACAAAGTTGACATCTACGAAGTCTGTGCTAGCAGATACTAATGATACATGTCTTACAGACTTGCAGTGGTAGCAGGATTTATTATGATTCAGAAACTCTCCTGAAGCTGATGTGCCTTTTAAACAGACAGAAGATACCAATTATAGTCCAAAATGATGGACCTCAGCAGGTAATTTGAATGCTTCCTACAGTGCAGTCCCACATGCCTCAGACTATCAAACAAATAAAAAAAAATGACAGCCCATCATCTGGCTGTTACTTTTTCAAAATAATTCTTTCATCTGGTATCTGAAGTCATAAGACGCTACCATCACCTCTTGAGGAGACTATATACTTCTTTGCTAGAATATTCACTTCCTTGCTACAATGAATATCCAGCTCTGACAATTTTGAACTTTGATTTCTCCACTTCTGTACCCCTCAACATTGCAACAAAATTGTCCTAACCCTTTTTTTCTGTTTGAAACCAACATTGCTATATGACTCAGGGAATGGTGATAACGTTGACAAAATAATTTTGTAAAATATGGAAAAATAATTTTTCATTATTTTTATTATTTCAATTCAACTCAAAAATTCAAGACCAGTTGTGCTATTTTTGCTTGTACTTAATAAATCTCGTCATGCAAGCAAATGAAACTTGGGGTGTGGTGACGGTGGAGAGCTAAATTGGAACAATTCGGCTTTGCTGCAATTTGATTCACAGCATATTTTAAATATGAAATCACAAACAGTGCCCATTCAGGGGCTGCAGATTGATTCGGAAGTTCATTTTTCATGCCGGTTGTGATGCAAATTTCCTGATACCGTCTCTGCTGATCCTTTAATGGTTTGCAGCCCAGAGGAGTCCCATATCCC